CCAGTGATCAATGTCGGGTGTCTTTCTCTATCATGTTCTACCTACTGTTTGAGATAGTCTCTCTCATGGAATCTGCAGTTTGCTGCCTGAGATATACTGGCTGGCCAGTGAGTTGAGCCCCCAGGACCCACCTCTCTCCATTCCTACCCTCAATGCGGGGGCTACACAGGTGTATGCCCAGCTGTCATGGGTGCTGACAATCTTAACTCAGATCCTCGTGCTTGCTCAGCAAACCCTTTTATACAATGAACTCTATCTCCCAACTCCCAACTCTGTTTTTAAGGGAGGTACAAGGATGGTGTTTGTTATCTTTTTATTTTTTCCTCCAAATACGCCCTCAAATTTCACCAGTTTCCATACCATCTTCATATATGTAATGTTAGTACAGATGGACTCAATCTTACCTCCCCTGTCTATGTCTGCAGTTGTTTCACAAACATGCCTGGGAAGGAGATGGCAGAGGTGAGCATTGCTGAGATTCTGACAAAGGTGTACTCTGCCCTTGTGAGTAGGATTCCTCACTCATATGCTGCCTATTCCCCTACCATGAAGGAAGCTGAGGTACCTTACAAAACATTTTAAAAATCACATGGAAAATAGCATGTCACCATGAAAGGCAGAGCAGGTAGAAGGAAGTAGGATTGATTCAAGAACATGATTGTATAGCTCTACAGTTGTCTAGTCAATGGATTTCAAGTCAAGGAAGCCAGTAAATCTTATTGGCAAAGTGGCTTGAGGCAGGTAACCTGTTACAGTCAGAATCATCTTACCATAAGAAAACATGGGCTTTTTAAAACATCTGTTATTTAGAGGTAACAATGAGGAAGTAAAAAACTAGATGATGTGGAATCCCCTCTGTATGCTATGAATATGTTTTATTACTATTGGCTAAATAAAGAAGCTTCTTTGGCCTAAGGCAGGGCAGAATACAGGTAGGTGGGAAAACTAAACAGAATGCAGGGATAAAGAACACAGAGTCAGGCAGACACCTTGTAGCTTACAAAGGAGAAAGATGCCAGAACCTTGCCGGTAAGCTACAGCCTCATGGCAATACACAGATTAATAGAACTAGGTTCATTTAAGATATTAGAGCTGGCTAGGAATATGCCTGAGGCATTGGCCAAACAGCATTGAAATTAATAGTTTTGTGTGATTATTTGGGTCTGGGTGACAGGGAAACTAAAGTACAGTCTCTGTTTACACTAGACATTAGGGACAAAGGGACAATTGAAGTTTCTAGTAGGGGGAAAGGAAGAAGCAGAGGAACATCCTAAGAAAGATAATGAGAAAGAGGAATAAGGACAGACATTTGTGAGTGGGGTTTGGAGTGCATTTGATTTGGCTTTGATTTCAGTATAATTTAAGGCAAATTCATCCCTCTGAAAGTATATGTGAGGATCTAAATGAGGTTACGGACATAAAAAGTATATTGTTTGGCCCAACAAGTGCTGTCTCCTTTGGTGCTGGCTGTAGCACATCCATATAAAGGCTCACCACATGCCAAGGCAAAGTTTGCCCCAAGGATGGTGCGGCAGTGAGATGGGTGGGCATCTGCCTCCATACTGTCACTGTGCCCTCCCTGTTCTCTCCTGTTGATGAGCACATCCCCTAGTTCTGTCCAAAGACTGCCAAACCATTTCCTAACCCAGGGAAGGGAACTGAGACGACAGGGGATCCAGTGTCCTCCCACTCCCCTCTTCAGTGTTCTCCACCACTGGCTTCCCAAGATGAACTCTGCAAGTCAACTCCTCCACCCATGAACACACTCCTAGACACTTTGCATGATTACATAAAAATACAATATATGCAGACATTTTGTTTGAAATCATTTGACTTGCTTCAGGAATCTCTGGGCTGCCTGCACTGCATATTATAGGTGTCTTCTCAGTAAAAAGAAAATAAAAATATCTGAATATTAGGCGCTTGTAGAAAACTCCTCACTTTTTTCTTCTACACTCAAGCTGCATTTGAGAATGCGTTTTCCAGATAGTGTACTAAGTTGGAAAGAGACACATTCCATTGTTCTTAACTTCTATACTTCAAAAATGTTTTCTCAAAATGCTAACTTATGTAAAAGTAATTGTGGGTTCAAATCTAATGAATTAGAAATCCTGTTGTATAGTGCGGCCATCAATACTTCTAACAAAACCGATTAACATGAAAGCTTGATGACTGTGGTTACTACCAACAATGACAATAGTATAGACCTGGAATATCCCCACTAGACTTAGTGTTAACAGCAGGTCCTCAAGCTTGATGCTATTAGAAGATGAACGAACCTTCAAGAGGTGAGTCTAATCTTGAAATTTTCAGGCAAATGGAAAACATCATATTGAGTGACATAACCCACACCCAGAAAGACAAATACCATATGTACTCACTTTTATGACTTTTAGACATAAAGCAAAGAAAACCAGCCTACAATTCACAATCCCAGAGAACCTAGACAACAAAAAGGATCCTAAGAGAGACATACATGGATCTAATCTGGTGCGGGAGAATAGTCTGTATTCTGTCAATCATGTTTTAAATAAACGCTGATTGGCCAGGCAGGAGGTGTAGGTGGGAAAACCAGACAGGAAGTGGAAATGATGCAAGGAGAGCAGGAGAATTCTGGGGAGGAGGAAGTTGATTCCTCCCACTCCTGCCCAGATCACTGAAGCAGCAGGATGTGAGCTGCCCCACTGAAAAAGGTACTGAGCCACATGGCTAATATAGATCAGAAAAATGGGTTAATCAAGATATGGGAGTTAGCCAGTAAGAAGCCTGACCTAATGGGCCAATCAGCTTTATAACTTATAGAGTCCTTTGTGTTATTTTTCTCTGGGACTAAACAGTTGCGGGGCTGGGCAGGACAGAAACACAAACAAACGGGCCCCCTCATGTTACACTAATCTACATGGGAAGTAGAAAAAGACAAGACCCCCTGAGTAAATTGGGAGTATGGGGATCATGGGAGAGGGTTGAAGGGGAGGGGAGAGGAAGGAAAGAGAGCAGAGAAAAATGTATAGCTCAATAAAATCAATACAAAATGTGAAAAAAAGAGGTGAGGTCTAGTGTGACATGTTTCAGAATATTTGTTTACACCGTGAAGTTATCTTTGCCAAGGAGTCTTCTGATTAGTTTAATGAAGACCTGAATGGCAAATAGCTAGGCAGGAAGACGTTAGGTGGGACTTCTGGGGACAGAAAGAACTCTAGAAGGAGAAAGTGAGTTGCCAACCAGACTCGGAGGAAGTAGCATAGACAATAAGGAGAGATGAGGCAACAAGTCATAAACAAAATGTAAATTAAATTAATGGGTTACTTTAAGTTATAAGAGCTGGTGGGACAAACCTAAGTTAAGACCAAGCTTTCATAATTAGTAAAAAGTCTCCAAACAGTTATTTGCAGGGTGGTGGTCCCTATAAGAAAGCATGTTACAGTGACATCTTACATTTATGATTGAGTTGGGCCTTTGAAAGGGATTGTAGGACACTGTCTCTTGTGCTCACTCTCTAGTTTGCAACTGTCATAGGGTGAGAAGCTTGTTCAACCACATACTTCCTGCCATGATGTACCACCTTCTAACAGACTTAATGACAAGTAGCCAGCTGACCACATGAACTACATGAATAAAACCTCCAAGACTCAGGGCCACAATAAACCTTCTTTTGAAGGTGATGACTTCAGGCATTTATTAAGCCATAACAGAGAGTTAACAGGAGTTATAAGCAAAAACCAGTGGAAGCCCAGGGAATGAGATGGTTGGGTAAATCAAAAAGGCTACCAGAGAGACTAAGCTGAACTTTGAGAGTCAACAAGAGCTTGCCAGTTTAGCTGCAAGATATGACATAGTGTATCCCACTTAATACCATTGCTCCACCGTTCTTCACAATTGTTTCCTTGCTTTCTCTAGTGTTAACAGAATTCCACTTAGTACTGAAATTCTAAGCTCTTCTAAGTGATGAGAAATCACAAGATAAGGATTAACTGTCCTCTCTCTGAAGCTTCTAAAAGGCCAACACCACTCAACATTATTACTATCTATTATTACTATTATTACAAATACTACCTCTAACAAAGGATGCTTGTAAGGTCCCTTGACTTCTAAGCCTGAAGCCTGTTGTTTATCTGCCCTAAACAATCTTCTGTTCTAATAAGTTGTTTTATATAATACATGATAAAATCTATATTTTCCTGCATCAATTTTTAAGGGCTTTTCTCCCACAACTGTTAAGGAAATAGAAAGGAATAAAGCCTGATTCAGCTCTTTCTTTGAAGGGTGTGAATGTGTGTCTAATTTAAGCTAAAACTAGACAGACAATAAGATGCAGGAAGAATTATGGTAAAGTACTACTAGTACAAATCTGGAAAGTCAAAGGGAAGGGTAGATAAGTAGGTTATATGAGTAGGTCACATGACAAGCAATGGAATTAGCATATTTTTCAAAAGTGATAAGGAAATATCACAAATAAATGATGTACGTGAGGCCAGAGAGATGGCAGAGCAGTTAAGACCATATACTACTTTTGTAAACAATCCAAGTTCAGTTCACAGGACCCACACAGAGCAGCCCACAACCACTTGGAAACCCAGTTTCAAGGGACCTGATGCCCTCTCTGGCTTCCATCTTTACCTGCGTCCCCACAACTGCATACAAATATACATAATTAAAAAGAGATCTTTTTTGAAAGAGATGAAGTACATGATTAGATAAGCATGTAACTGTAGTGTAGAAAGAGGCACCTGTAGCTTGTTCCAATATTATGTGATTTTTTTCTTTAAAAAATGCAAACTGTGTAACATGAAACTTTATTTTTACATGATTCTGAAATTTGAGTTTTTCAAGACTGTTGACCATTATTTACTTTCCATCAACATATAACATATATATTAAAATCATGAAGACTGTTGCAGTATGAAACATAAAGCAGTAATTGCCTTGCTCAGCTAATCAAACTCCTTCATCATGCTAAAGCTTTGAACCACCCAAACAAAAAGAATTATAGTTCTCTTGAAAGATATTTATAAAGTTTATTATTTCCAGAAAACCAAAATAATTGACTCAACAATAAGTACAGTTCTGGCATGCAGCAAACCATCATTTAACATGTTTATCTTAACATAAGTTCAGACTTTATTTTCACTTCTACAGTTCCCATAAGAAGCTCGCAATGATAAGTATTTTGTTACAGGCACTTCAAATAGCACTACAGTACATCTCTTGACAAAATTTTTACGATATTCCAACTTTCAATATGAAACAGCTTTAAAGGGCATAAGCCAAAACACAAACCAAAACAAAGAAACCAAAACAAAACAAAAAAGTATCTTATTATTACTCAGGCAAAGATTCATATTCATACGAGCACAACATTCAACTCTCCCTGTTTAGGTGGGAAAGAAACATGTCGGGCATTTCCCTTCAAATAAACTTACATAAATAATTGGGGAAGTGCCCAAACCCATAATTTCATACATTAAATAATTTTTGAACTTTTACTCTTGGAAAACACAAACTATTTATGCTTTGCTTTTATGCAACAGACATGTCCTCAAGAGTTTTGTGCAAAGCCGATTCTGTGAACCACTCTTGTGTGTACTGGAAAATACACCTCAAATCTCAAAGAAACAGAAGAGAAATCATTCCTTGAAGCACGTGGCCTCCTCTTGAGAGGAAAGCACATCTGTTTATCACTGACTCACACAACCACATTCCTTCTCTGCAACTGAAACCCAAGTTTCTGAAGGATCACCTGGGCTGACAGTTCCCCCTCCCTCCCCCTCCCACAGGGCAGCTCTTACACCATGGTCAAAACTTACACTTATGCCACTGCCCACACTTCTAACAGCGGGTTTTTCCACTATATTTAAGTGTGCTAAATACCTATCCTAGAAAGAGAACAGCTATCCCTTGTCATTGCTAGAAGATGTTAGTCAATGATTGTACAAACTGCCACAAAAGTGAAGGACAATCTGTGACTAAGATACTTCTCTCACAGAATAGGAGTAAATAAAATATTTCTGTAAAATTATGACAATACTGTTTAGAAAAAAAAATGATGCCCTGAACTCTTTCAGCATCTTATTCCCATACAGGGACAATATCCTTACTAACTGAAGTGACAACGAAGATCAAAATAATACTATAGCATTAGTATCTTTCACAGAGGAGCAAAAACTGAAACTACGAAGCTATTGCCATTTGATCAAATTTAGCAGATTAAACTTACTTAAGTCATAGGGCCACTCAAAGAGGTGTCAATGCAAGGTTTTGTCCCTGGCCACTGCTGTCAACCACCAATGAGCAACAGGTGCACTGCATTTAAGTGTCTCAAACAATACAACGGCAGACAAGTCAGAACAGTTCATGACACCTGGGAAATACCCATATAAATGTAAACGATAATGAATGGTAAATACTCCACGGGTGCAACCTACCTTCTTCCTACTTGTAAATCCCTTAGGGAAAAATAACAGCAGGGTTAGGAGGGGACTCATCTGTCTTAGAAGGTAAAATCACCGTCCTCAAAAAAATCACTGTGAAAAAGCTGTAATTTCTTCCACCCATTTGCACATCTGTTGTCCTCTTGTCCTTTAACTTTCAGGAAAAATGTTTTGCAATGGAGCTTAAGTGTACGTGTAAAATCAAACGTGGCAGGGTGATTTACTAGAGCTGAATGGCAATTCTGGCCTCACGTTAAGAGGTATGCATATATATATAGACACGCAATGACTTAAGGAGTAATTCAACATATGAGGCCAGACTGAAGATGATGGAGTTGTAACTCTAATACAACCAAGGTCATACACGGACAACCTTAGATACCTAGTTATGCCATCAAACAGTGCTATTCCCTCTCAAGTCATTCAGCCGTTTCCGCTGTAACACTGATTTTATTTAACTAACTCCTTATAATGTAGGACAAGCAATTGCCTATGAAGTCATTCTACCTAATGCTGGCCTTCGGCAAAATGTCTGAGGGTATTATATCACCAGAGACCACAAACACATTAGTGGTTTTGTGTTACATAACAACCGCTTTCTCTTGAGGTCGTTCTTTAAAGTGAGTGAGCTGATGTCTCTTCCAGTGAGGTGCTTGCCTGAATGTTTTGCCACAGACTGAGCACTCAAATGGTTTCTGCCCTGCATGAATTAAATAGTGTCTCTCTAGTTTGGATGGAGATCGGAAATTTTTACGACAAACACTGCACTGGTAAAGGAGTCCATCACTTCTTTCAGGACGGCCTAAATAACTGTAACAATGACGGCTCTGCTCTGACTCCAAAAGTGTGTTAGTGAGGTAAGACGGCCTGTTCCTATAGTGGGAACCGAGAATGAAATCCTCTGGTTCTGCTTTGACCTCAATTCCAGCTCCCTGATTGGACTCTGAGCCCTCATATTTCTGGAAAACATGCCCCTCACTCTGTTGGGAAGCATTATAGCTAACACCATCACTTGGATGAATGAAAAGTTTGTTTACATTCCCAAGGTCCACTTCCCAAAATGAGCTATAGGGAATCTTTTCAGTATGAGTTAGTTTATGTCTTTTTAGGTGAGCTGACTGTCTAAAAGATTTCCCACAAACATTACAGCCAAAAGGCCTCTGTCCAGTGTGAATCAGATAGTGTCTCTGGAGTTTAGAGACAGAAGGGAACACTTTCTCACATTTATCACAGGGACACATTTTATGTCCAGCATGCATATTTTCACTTGAATCTGAAAAGCCACACTGAAGCATGTCACAGTTATTAAAGTATTCCTCACCTGACGAACCAAAGATTGACAAGTCTTTATTATTCATTGAACCATCCATAGTTAATATGCTTCCTGTTGTAAAGATACCTTGCAAACTTTTACCCATATTTTGGCTCTGGAATTGCTTTTGCCAAGAAAACGGTAAAGTTAGTGTTTTCTTCTTCTTTTTGTTAACTGTCTTACATGATCCATGTCTGCCAAGAGAACCCACAAATGTCCTCTGAGTTTGTTCCGGGTTCTGCTCACCAGAAGTACGTTCACAATTTTTCAAGCAGTTGCTTTTAAATGTTCTTTTCTCTGATTGAAGGTTATCTGATTTTTTACCCCCAGCACGTTTAAGTTTAGCCAAGAGCTTTTTAACAATGGTCTTATAGTTGCAGCTTCTTTTGAGCCTGCTTGGAATTCTGCCACCTCTGGCAGGAAGACACTTGTGTCCATTCAAAATCTGCTCTGACTCAAAACATTCTTCACACTCTGAACACTGAAAAGGGACGATATAAATAGAGTGGACATCAAGAGGATTATTCTCCTCAGATTCACCCATATCACCATTTTCAAAAGCATCCTGCTTTGCATTTAATTTATTAGGTACGGGACATGATTCAGGAGTCTTTCCTTTTAAAGAGAGATTCTGAAGAGTCTTATTCCTAGTGTGGATTTGTTTATGCTTCAGAAGTTTGCTTTGAATCTTAAATCCTTTTTGACAAAAACAACACTGAAAAGGTCTTTCTTCTGAATGCGTGAGTTGGTGGATTTTTAAGTGAGTTGACTGTCGGAAAGATTTACTGCACAGGACACATTTGAAAGGCCTCTGTCCAGTATGAATGAGTGCATGCCTATCGAGTTTTGACTGTGATGGAAACATTTTGCCACAGATTGTACATGCATGAATATGCTTTCTTCTCTGGGTAGTGCTATACTTGGGATCAGGCTTAGAGCATGGGTGTAGTGCCCGTCTCTCCTCCGCAGCGAAAGTATTATACCCTCCGTACACGGGCCTCTCCTGCTTGGTCTCAAGCAATCTTCTGACTTTAACATCATTGTGATAGGATTCACTGTGAAGCTGCTGGTGCTTCACAAATGTCTTCAGGTTTTTAAAGTGGCGCTGGCAAATACTGCAACTGAAAGGCAGACTGTGGGTTAGCTGGTGCCTCTCCAGATGAACTAGCTGCCGAAAGTTTTTATGACATACATCACATTCAAATGGCTTTTGACCGGTATGAATGAGATAATGCCTAGCTAATTTCGATGGTGTTTCAAAATGCTTGAAGCAGATGTTGCAAATATATGGCCTGTTCCTAGGTAGTCTGTTGGCTACACGCTGCTGAATCTTCACCGTTTTTAGGTTGTTTTCAGCCATCGTATTCTTCAGTGGCATACTCTGACGAGCTCCATGGCGTCCTTAAGCTCCACAAACATCTACAAATTAAAGGAAAAACAGAGTATTAATTATCAGATGTGTACAAAAGCAAGTAATTTAGGCAGAAGATTAAAAGTAAAGAGAATCTCACTTTCTTGTATTTTCAAGTAATTTAACAACCATCTTAAATTAACTTTTTAGAATCATAGAACTAATTTTAAACAGATATAATTCTTGAGTTCTAAAGTTCTACTTTTCTACTTGATAAGTTATATTTAAAAAGGACCAAACTTGATTTCTTAACATTTAATAGTCCTTTTAGTTCCAACTTTCTTCCTTCAGTATTAAATGTATCAATGAATGGCTTGGCCATGATGATAATACTGAAGGAGGAGGAGAGGAGGAGAAGTAGAAGGAGGAGGAGGAGGAGGAGGAACAACAACAACAACAACAATAAGAATAAGAAAAAGAAGAAAGAAGAGGAAGTAGCAGTAGTAGTAATCAAGTAGTGGCTGGAGTACCTGGTATTGTGGTACATTTCTTTAAGGCCACCAGTCACAAGCTAGACACAGGAAGAAGAATCATGTATTTGAGGCCAATATGAGTTATCCAGTCACTTCGGGCAAGCCTCAGCCAGCGATGCCCTGTCTGTTCTAATAATAAATAAATATATTTAAATTGATTAAAAGGTAAAGATTTAAAATACTAAATGAAGACATATTTACACTGAAGTATAGTACATACTATAGCCATGCTCTGGGCATAGAACATTTCATTTATTTATATTTAGATGGTTGAACCACAATATTAAAACTATTTCGTCTCAATGGCACAGGCCTTTAATCCCGGCACTATAAGCTAAGGCCACCCTGATTTACATAGTGAGTTACAGGACAGCCAGCACTAGAAAGATGAGATCTTGTCTCAAAATAAAATAAAATATAAATAAATATTTGCTCTCATTTATTTCTCAACATCAGCAAAGATGCCAAGAATAATATTCGCAGAAGACTCGAGTTTTAATCCTAAATTTGTCACTGCATAATTTGTGTGTCACGAAAAAGGGAATTCAAGATTCTTTAAAGTGGGAGCCATGCCTTCTCCCATACCAAGCTGCTGTACGAGGCAGTGGCAATAATGGATGTGCATGTATCAGAAAACTGTGAAGCAACACAGAAATGTGAAATATTACTGAGCTCATGATTAACCACATTTTAAGGTGTGACTCTTATCTCCTTCATAATACTGTAGGTTTCTAAGATAAGCATACTAAATTTCAGTCCACTTCTCCCTTCTGCTTTGTTGAAGGCTCTGTAACCAAAACAAGTACAAAAGAATGAGGTTGACAAATTGCACACTGACATATGGATTTATGAGTAAAGAACAGAATGCTGAATGTGGTCCCTTCATCAGGCAATAAAGACGTGCTCTGGACAGATGTCTTTCAGACACACTGAAACGTAAACATTTCACAGTTCTCACATATCATTGTCCAGAAGAGACAATTTTCTTTCCTTTTATTACTATTCCATTAGCCTTAATTAAGACAGGAATTAAGACAAAAAGCGAAACAAAGCAAAGCTACGCCAGTTCTCCCCTTTTAGGATGTAAGAATTCAGAACTCTATATGAACTCAGAGCTCTTTTGTCTGCTGGCCTGCCAGTCAATCTATATGTCGCTTATCATCTCTCCTAGAAGACACCTTAAGCACAAAATCAAACACACTCACTGTGCAATCTGAACACGAAAAGAACAAAATTCGAGACACTATTTTGCACTAGTTGCTTATCAAAGTGCTTCTCAAACTATAGGTCCACACTCATTACTGGTCTGTGAAGTCAGCTCAGTGAATGATGGTCAGCCCAATTCCTTTAATAGAACATATACCATGTAGCAAGTATAAAAATTGCTTTCCGAAACTTCAGGTGGCAGAAGTTGAAAGATGTTTGCAAGCTGTTCCTCACATACCTGTTCACACAATTGTAGGCAGGGGGACCTACGATCAACCAGTCACTGTGTTCTGTAATCTATTATGGTGACAAAGATGAGGCACCACAGGCAAGCGTACTAAGGAAAGCAGCAGAGTCCTCTTTTCTTCCCATGGGCCATATTATTTTTAAATATGCATGCAAAATTAGTGTATTAGTAGTCAAGTGGAAAATGTCATTTAAATAAGAAAGTAAAACAATCAGACGACAAGTCACTCTACTAATTTATAAAATATATCCTATAACCCAACAACAAACAGCTAGGCTATGGGTACTTTTACTTCACTCAGTTAAAAAAAAAAGCTAATTGTAAACAACCTGCAGGAATTCCTAAGCATGTTGGCATAAAGTTAAGCGCTATGAGAGCTAAAATTACCAGAAACCCAGCAAACTGCAAAGAACTCAGCATTTTCTTTCATTCCTGTCAGGTAATTAGTTTAATTCCTCTTGAGCAACAAATGTCAAGATGGTCAATCAGGACAATGAGCCAAGCTTAAAGCATCAAACCTTTATTCACCTGCTACAACAGTGTAAGAGGGACAAAAGAAGCCAGTTCCCCAGTGGAGTCTTCAACAGAAAGCCAAGTGAGTGTTAAATGGATATAGTGCACAAGAGGAAAGCTCACAAAAGCTCCAGACTCCTCTGGGCCAATGTGCCAGGGGGAGCGAGGGCTGGTGAAGGGCTGGGAGGAAAAATGAACTGTACTAAGTCTGGTGCGGGAAGACAGCTTCTCTCCCTGAAGCAGGTAGGCAAAATCTTGTAATGACTGTGGTCAAGCTACAGGGTTTGGGCCTGGAATAGGGACTTCTCCATTCTCTTTCTATACGTCTCCTTTCTCTGACTGATTGTTTCTATAGAATACCACCCCTTCTCAAAATAAAAAGTCCCACAACTAAAACTACACAAGGCAACTATCTGATTATAAATAACAAGAATCGGTCCCCTATAGGTCGGGTGCCCCAAAGGGTTGCGACTGAGCAGCCATCACTCCTTGCATTAAGACCGGATACTCCTGTCACTTGCTTTGGGAAGGCACTTGATGAGAAGAACCCTACCTTGTCAGAATCATTTGTGGCAAGTGGTGATCTCACTTCCTATTTATAAGTAAAAGGTCAGAGATTTCCACACTCCAGGCACAATCCCCCGTGCGCTTAGAGGTTTAATCCCATTTCAACTGAGTGTCTTTTCTCTCTACTGAATTTGCCATCATTAAAAAAAAATACACTAAGGCTATTTTTTTATGTTAAAGTGAAACAATACAAACCAATGGATGCGCTCAATGACTCAATCTAGATATTATCATGACAGGAGTTCAAACAACATTAAGCTAGGTAACTACAAAAACGGACATCAATAAAATCCAATGTTGTCTCAGGGTCGAAAGCACCATTGTTTCCTTTGCTTTTGGAAACACCACTGAAAAGACATCTCAAATGCATCACAAAAGCAAATGAACAAGAAATGAAACACCTGAGAAAAACGTCGACTTCCAGCTGGAGAACTCTCTCTGGTGACATTTACAACAGTCTTAGCCTCTTTCTACCTTGTTCTGCCTGCAGCCAACTCTCTTGGCCTTGAACCATCAGCTTTGCCTTAACTTGAACTATATTTTCAGCCTAATCTCCGGCAAGCAAAGTGCATTTTTTGGGGGGGTCCAGCTGAGTTCAGCAGCTGTAAAAATCCCATGCCCGGTATGGACAAGGGTGAAAGCTCCACTCACTGCAGCCAGATGATGGGGTGCAGGAGAAAAGCTGAGTGAAATGCGGGAAAGAAGTGATTTGACCCCAGGAGGATGGGCACAGGGCTCAGCTCTTTTGAGTTTACCGCTCCCACGGAGCGCACGCCAGGAGCTGAGGTCGTGGCACCCTGATCGGTTCCCCGAGAACCTCGGCGGGGTTGAGGCAGGCCTGGCCCTCCCCGGGGTTCATTCCCCCTCGCACGCAGGCTCCTGAGGTCCTCCACACGCACCTGGAGCTGGCAAGGGCCCGGCAGCGGCGCATCTCCCAGCCAGGGGCTCGCGAAGACAGCAGGCGAGCTCACGGCCGCAGGGTCGGCGCGGCGACCGGCTGAGTGCGCAGGCGCGGCGCTCCGGAGCGCTCCGAAAGCCGTCCTGCCGGAAACAGCGTCTCGCGATCTCTGGGCCGGCGCTCGCTTCGTTGATGACCGCGGGTCCTAGCGCGACGTCTGCCCGGTACTGCTGTTTCCAAGGAGAGAAAAACAGAAGACAAAAAAAGCGTGCACTTTCCATCGTGCGGTTACCAACCCTTCATTATGTAAATCCCAGACAGGACCGACTGTAAGACCCAGCACTTACTGAAATCGAGGGTCGGAGTTCAAAACCCACTTAATCGGGGCTGTGGGTAAAACTCCCTGTATTAGGTACATTCTGGGTTAGGACTGTTCACAGCAATTTATATTTTTGTCAACACAACGATGAGGGTTTCTGGAAAGCCACTCTTGTCAAATTGGTGAACTTCAGGTTCAGCGACTGACCCTGTCTCATAAAAGTTAAGTTGGATGCAATTGAGGACCACTATTGTTGAATCTAGTCTCCACATACGTGTACACACATAGAGTAACACATGCATACAATAGAACTCAACTTCGTTTCTTCATCTGTAAATTCTGGACATAATCACTTATCCAATGACGTGTCACATGAAAAGAATCAAGGATTCACTTCTGAATATATAACTATCAACCAGGCCTTCAAGAACAGACAGACAGGTATAATGTGATAATAGATAATATGTGCAGTGTGTGTGGAAGATACAACTGCTTTGCATGGAAATGCATTCTGAGCTGAAGTCAGGCATTCGTGCAATGTCTATTTTTATCAAGCATTTCCTGCATACCAAGCCTATTCTAGGAATGGGTAAATTTTCAGAGAAGTAAAAGCAGAATCCATCACAGCAAATTTTATATACTACTAAGGGAGGTAGAAAATAAACAGTAAAATATAAGATATGTTGAACATTGATAAGACTAGAAGAGAAGTTGGGCACAGAAGTAAGATACGAAGTTTTGTGGGCAATGTGCTGATTTGTTTCAGCTGTCAAATGATGCAGCCAATGATGCACCCCAGAGTCTTAATGATTATCTAGATTAGGTTGGCCTGAAGACACGTCTTTGAGGAAGGAGTTGTCTTGGTGATTAGGTGATGTAAAAAGACCCAGCCCATTGTGGGTGGCACATTCCCTAAGTAGTATAAGAGAGAGTATTAACTTAAAGGAAACAAGATTGCATTTATTCTCTCTATGCTTTTGACTGTTAATGTGTGTGTATCACTTGCTGCTGGAGTTCCTGCCTTGACTTCCTGAAAACGATGGACTAGAAGTGAAAACTGTCAGTCAAATAATCCCTTACCCCTGATGTTGCTTTTTGTCAGAGTGTTTGTCATAAAAACACAAAAGGAGCTAGAACAGGAAAGACTTGATAACATCTTAATAGGTGGCCAAAGATGGCCTTACTGAGAAGTTTTGTGTTGTTTTTTTTTAAAGTAAAGTAGAAACGAGAGGAATAATGCATGGCAAGTGGAGGTAGTACTGTACTACAACAGAGTGAGAACGTCCGTCATAGGCAGTTAGGTAGAGAAGAGGCCAAGCACAGAAGATGTAGGAGAAAGAGTGATAGATGGAAAACAAGTAGATCAGAACTGACTGAGTATGAAGTCCAGGAAGAAGGGGTAATAGCAGCCCTGTGGCTCATTCAGCTAATAACTTAGAACAAGTGTTGCTCCTCAGATTGTTTGCAAAGCTCAAAAAGGTCTTCTATACTGATACTTTCTTATTTGTCATTATTTACATGTGGCTTGAAGACTTCCAGAGGCAGAATCAGAAGCTCGAGTTTTAATGCTGTTACAGTGACAGGCCTCTCACGAAGTCACCTCTTTTCCCCATCTTCGTACTTTAATTTCTTTCCTGTTCCCTGTGGGGCAATCAACAAAACCACCTGCTTGTCTCCATGGACATGGTTATCCTGCTAAAAATCTGCATTCCTCAAATAGAAGCATCTATCTTTAAGCAATTATCAAAGAAAATATCCAAGAAACACAGCTCCCCTTTTAAGAGGGGTTTTGTGAGTAAAATCTCTCCATCATACACTTCCTTAGAAAAAAATGCAAACTCTTATATATTTTGTCATACTCTTTTTGTTTTTGTTGTTTGAGAATGGGTTTCTCTGTGTAACAGCCCTAACTGTCCTGGAGCTAACTCTGTAGACCAGGCTGGCCTCGAACTCACAAAGATCCACCTGCTTCTGCCTCAGGAGTGCTGGGATTAAAGGCATGTACCACCACCACCCAGCTTTGCCATACATTTTCTGAAGACCTTAGGGCTTGGGGATGAGATGAAGAATGAGGGAGGAAAGGAGAGAATTACTTGAAACTAGAAAACACAGACTATTACAGTTTGATTTACCAAGGGCCACTGGACCACTTGTAACTCACATCTAGCTCCAGCCTCCAAACAGGTTGCAGGATAGCTCTAAAGCTCCATTCTAGAGAACATCTTTTGTGTTTCTCAATCTACTTCAGCAGTTGCATCATTCCATCCACACTGTTCACTTGTCCATGTGTTGAGTCCCATTCAGAAATGCCGAGAATCCAGAGTTATATAGAAATATGGTGGTCTCATTAATTTGAGCTTTCCTTTGTACATGTGCATGTATATTTGCATGCTTATTTGTATATGGATGCATGCATGTACAAAGGTGCATGTTGGAGGTCTGAAGTGCATTACTCACCACATTATATGTTGAAGTTGGGTCTCTTACTGAACTGACTGAACTAAAACTCACTGAATGCTTCAACTGGGCCAGCTAGACATCTTGTTTCTGGGATCCCCTATGTCTGTCTCTGCTCCAGGGATTTCCTGTCTCAGCCTCCATGTGCTGAGATTGCCACACCCATTGGTGTGTATGTGAGTTCTGGGCATAAGTCCTCACGCTTGTGTAGAAAGTGCTTTACCCATGGATCCATCTCTCAGCCCCAAACAGCAGATGTTGGCCATACTTGTTAAGCCTTATGACCAGACTAGCATCTTAACCCTCACTGGATGATTCTCTGACAATTACATGCTCAAGGTATAGGCCCACCAAGGAGGGTAGGAAGAATTATGGTACTTGCTGAGTTTTTTCTCATGGGACCAGGAGATCTTAGCGCCATGAATCTCCTGTTTTGGGTTCCTGATTTCTGAATTATGGTAACAGAATTCTTCTAGTGGATATATTATACCAGAAAAAAAAGAACAGCTGTCTCTGTAAGAGTCAAAACAAATGTCATGTAGATATTTCCCCCTCAGTTCCTGGTAGAAGTTTGGATTTGGTATTTATTGACTTGTTATTTATTTATTTAGGTTTTTTTGAGACAGGGTTTCTTTGTGTAGCCTTGACTGTCCTGGAACTCACACTGAAGACCAGGCTGGCCTTGAACTCACAGGGATCTGCCAAGTTCTGCCTCCCAAGTGCTGGGATTAAAGGCACGCACCACCACATGGCTTAACTTGTTATTTCTAATTGTGCATATTTATGAGGTATCCTATGGTGTTCCATTGTATAATGTCCAAATCAAGGATAGCATGCTAATTGCCTCAAACAGTTATCATTTCTTTTTGGAGAAAGCATTGAAAGTTTCCCCAGGTATTTTGAATTATACAGTATATTATCTAAAGACACTTTACTGTGATCTTATTTCTCCCATCTAGCTGTGAATGAGTACCCATTGACCAATTGTTCCATATCCCTCCCTGTATTATGAGGCTGCTCATTTGTTTCCCGGCCACTGAGACCTGAAATAATCACACAGAAACTATGTTAATTGCAACCCTGCTTGGCCAATGACTCTAGTGCATTCCTAGCTCTTACATCTTGAATTAACCCATTTCTATTATTTGTATTTTACCACAAGGCTCATGGTTTACCGGTAAGGTTCTCCAGTGTCTGTCTCCTTTGGTGGCTACATGGCTTCTCCTTGAGTCTGTCTTCTTTTCTTCTCTATCTCTACTTAGAATTTCTGCCCTGCTCTATTCTGTGCTGCAATAGGCCTAAAGAAGCTCTTTATTCATTAATCAATAAAAGCATCACATATACAGAAAAACTTCCCACTTCACCTCCCAACCTCCAACGTTTCTTAGTGTCTGATAGCATTTACTGCTCAATTTCTTATGAGATCAACTTTTTAAAAACCCCTCCTATAAGTGAAATCATACGGAGCTATTTGTTCTGGCTTATTTCAATAAATATAATGGTCCTTAGATCCCACTATACTATTCCAGATTTTTAAGGACTGAATAATATATTATTGTGTACCTACATCACATAAATTCATTAGCTGATGGACACTGTTGCTTAAATTTAGTCCTGCGTATTTTTTAAGCTATTGCAATATTGATTTGTTCTTTTTGGATTTTTGCTCTTGGCATGTAAAACCATTACTGCTGTCTGTGTGTTGAAACTTTGCCAGATTTATTTGTTCAAACTGGTTTTTTGATGAAGCCTTTATAGTTTGTTGTATATAATGATCATGTCTTTTTCAAACAGCGGCAGTTTGATGGATTCTGCCATCATTGAGATGTTCTTCGCTTGTTTCTATTGCCCTACTCTTCTGGTTAGGACTCTCAATACTGGGTTGAATAAGCGGTGATGGTGGTCTGTTTTATCTTGTTCAGAACTTAGAAAGAATTTAGCTTTTCTTTCTTTGTCATGATGTTTATTGTGGTATTTATTATGTGGAAATATTTTTCTTCGATAACTAACTTGTTCAGGATTTTTATTGTGAATTGTTGTATTTTTATCACATACTTTTCTGCATCTGTTAAGATGAGTGTGTGTTTAAAACTTCATTCTATTGATGTAGTACATCATATTTATTAATTTGAAAACTGACCGTCCTTAGGTCCTTAGGATGTATCCTACTGATCACAGTGATTATTTTTGTTGATATGCTTTTTGTATTCATTTGATAGTATTTTGTTGAGGAGTCTCTTTTGATGCCCATCAAGAACACTTAGCTTGTAGGTTGTTGTTGTTGTTGTATGTATCCTTCCTTGTAAAATGAATTGGA